AAATGACCCGGAATTGACTTTCTGCAGTCGGTCTTCCCGTTGGCTGAGGAGGGGAGAGATCTGGAGTCTTGTGGTCCTTAAGATGTCTTCCATACTCACAGCCATTGCAGAGGTCCAAAGGGGTTTACAGGAGATTGCACAGAAATCCCTGTGTCCACTGTCTTTATGGGGGGAGAGATTTTTCTTCTCAGAAGGCCCATGTGCTGATTCACCAAGGAAAAAGATGAATCTTGCTGCAAAGAAGCAGATGGAGGTCAATTCTGAAGGGTGGTAGACCAAATTCTTGGCACCTGCTCTATTAAAACAAAATGCTATACCCAGAGAACAGTGTGGGCCAGGCTGAGGTCAGGTGAGGCCAGCAGCTGCAGGTCAAAGGGAAGAACCAAGAGAACCGTCCAGATAGGAGCCTGGGGGAGGGCAAAGGCCACTGGCCCAGTACCTGCCAGAGAATCTGTGAGTGGGGCCATATGCCCTTACACTGCGTCTCTGTAGGGTTGCACCACACACGTAATAGTTACCTGAGTGAAATGGAGGGGCCTCCCCCACTGCCAACTTGGGCCCCAAGACATAGCAGTAGGTGGCCCTTGGCCGTGCCAGCATCACCAGGAGGTGACAGGGTGGTGTGGTGAGGAGGGACTAGGCTCGGGGGTCCACAAACCTGATTCCTGGTTCAGCTGTTTGTCAGCTGTGTGGTCCTGAGGTCTCTCACCTCTTATCTGGTATGTTGGTAAGATGCCAGCCAGGTGCTGGTGGCTCACACCTGTAATCCTAGCTGCTTGGGAGGCTGCGATCAAGGTTCGAGACCAGCCCAGGGAAAATAGTTCCAGAGACCTCCCCCCCCATCTCCAAAATAGCCACAGCAAAATGGACTGTAAGTGTGGCTCAATTGGTAGAGAACTTACTTCACAAGTGCAAAGCTCTGAGTTCAAACCCCAGTCCCACCAAAAAAAAAAAAAGGTGGTAAGTCCAACACATTGCATAGAACATAGGTAAAACCTCCAAAAATGGTGACCATCATGACTGCACACATCTCAAGTTTTCTGGGTAAGTGGAAACCTTTAACTCACTTTTATTCAGCTTCCTCTCTGTTTCCTATTCATTTCAGCAATGCCTCATAGATCTCAGGCATGTATCACATACTGTTTTTTGTTTTTTTTTGGTGGCACTGGGGCTTGAACTCAGGGCCTCACACTTGCTAGCCTTGATAGGCAGGCACTCTACACTTGACTGGTTGAACCACTCTGTCAATGTGTTGGGTATTTTTGAGATAGGGTCTTGCAAACTATTTGCCCAGGCTGGTGTCAAACCACCACGTTCCTCCTGATCTCTGCCTCCCAAGTAGCTAGGATTACAGGCGTGAGCCCCCCGTGCACTCCTTCTTTTTAATACTCAGAGTCCATTTGATTTGTTTTCTTTTTTTTTTTGCAGAGCTGGGGATTGAACCCAGAGCTTTACAACTGCCAGATGAAAACTACCATTGAGCTGCACTCCCAGCCCCATTTAAAATTATTTTTTAATTTTTTTGTTAGTACTTGAGTTTGAACTAAGGAAAGCACATGCTAGAAAGGTGCTTTAGTTCTTTTGCTTTAGTCATTTTTTAGAGAGTATCTATCACCCCCCTGCCCCCGACCCAGGGCCAACCTCAGTCTGCGATCCTCCTGTGTAGCTGGAATTACAAACATGTACCATCATGCCCAGCTTGGTTTTTTGTTTCTTTCTTTTTTTTTTAGGTGCTGGGGTTGAACTCAGGGGCTTGCTCTTGCCAGGCAGGTGCTCCCCTACTTGAACCATATCCCCAGCCCCTCAGGTTGTTGAGATGGGGTCTCACTAACTTTCTGCCTGGGCTGGCCTGGAACTGTGATCCTTCTGATCTCCATATTCTAAGTACTGGGATTACATGAGTGGGGTAATTTTTTTAAAATATTTTTTTGGCATTACTGTCATTTGAACTCAGGGTTTCCTGCTTGCTAGGCAGGCGCTCTATCACTTGAGCCAGGCCTCCAGCCCTGGGAAATTATTTTGATAGATTTCTCCCTACAAATGAATACAGGCTTCTGTGGTTATCCATCATCACATAGTCAGCCCTTCATATCTCTGGGTTCTACATCCTTAGATCCAACCAACCTCAGGTGGAAAATACTTGGGAAAAAAATTGTACTGAACCTGTACAGACTTTTTCCCTTTGTTCTTTATTCCCCAAACAATACAGTATAACAATCATTTATACAGCAGTTTCATTGCACCAGGAATTACAAATGATGAAGGGATGACTGAAAGTCCGTGGGAGGATATGCATGGATTTTGGGCAAATACTTGTCTTGAGCATCTGCACCTTCTGGTGTTCTCAGGGAGCCTTTGAACCAATCCCCATGGACAGGACACTGAGGGACAACAGTCCTTGACAGTTCCTGCCCCAGCTACTCAGCTCTTGGTAGTCTGCCTGTGCCTTTGGAGGTCCTTGCAGCTCTCCACAGGTTCCTGCTGCCACCCCAGTTGTCCTTACCCCTGCTGTCAGGCTCTGTGTCTCTCAAGTGGTGCCCTACCAGGGGATCCTGTCAAGGTCCTTCTTACCATTCCTGTGTGTCTCCTTTGTGCCCCATGAGGGGCTCTGCTACATGCACCTGCTCCTCTGATCTCACAGACTCACTCATTTAACTCCCACTGACTTAAGTGAGGGCCAGAAGGGACAGTGTAAGGGCTAGAGAGAGGCCAGGGGTCTGGGCCCTGCCTTCAGGAAACTCCCAGCTAGTGAGCAGAACAGACCAGCAGACAAGTACAGTGTTAGAGGAGCAACAGAAGGAGGGGTGCATAGTACATATTGCAAATGCATGTACCGGATGACAAAAGTGAGGCCACATGGTTTCTACTTAACAGCTGAGGAAACAGGCTCTGAGACTGTTCTTCATTCTCACAGCTAACAAATGGCGGGGCTGGAATTTTAAATTCAGGTTCTCTTAGCCCCAAGCCTATTGTTTTTTTCCCTAGATACCAAGGCATGGTAACTCACAGCTGTACATCTGGTAGTGGGCGTGATCTGTATCCACACGCCTTTCTGATGCTGTAACAAAATAGCTGAGACTACATAACTTGTGAAGTTTACTTGGCTTGTGGTTCTGGAGGAACATAACACTGCCTAACACGGTGGACAACATCACCCCACGATGAGACACAGCAAGTATTCGAGCTCAGGTCTCTCTTCTTCCTACAGAGCCACCAAGGCCATCATGGAGTGAGTGCCACCCTTCTGACCTCATCTAACCAGTTCCCAAAGACTACTGACATGAATTTAGAGACTGAGTTGCCAGCACGTGAAATCTGAGGGTGGGGTACATCCAGACTACAGCAATGACTAACCCATCCACACCTGGGCAGGTCTGAGGGACAGGCTGGATGATGGTGTAGGAGAAAGGCATTGAGTTAAAATCCAGATTCTGACTTGGACAAGTGGGTGGAAGAAGATACCTGTCAGAGAGAGGAATGGAGGGGAGCTGAACGTGCCCCAGGGCAGGTGTGTTTCAGGCCCAGCTCTGACGGGTGAGTGACTCAGCGCTGTAACTCATCAGCTGCCCCCTTTTCTTCCAGATTATTCTCTGGGCCTTCCTCTCCTGGGTCATCTTTGGAAGAGGGCAGAAAGTGAGGGGCAGTTGTCCTTTATGCTCTGGGTAACTGAGGACCACGGGTGATCATACCGTGTGATCTGAACATGCCAGAAAGCTGTGTGTTCAGCATGTTGCTCAGAAAGCTGGTTTGGGAGTGTGGGGTGCAAGAGGAAGGGCACCCCGGCCCCCGCTGTCTTAAAAAAAATAATAGTAATAAAATAAAGCTGGTTTGGAATGTGGAGAAGATGACTCCCATCCGGGAATGTGAGAACAGTCACTAAAGAGCAAGTAATTGTGTATTGCCTTTCGTAAGTCCTTTCATATACACCTGTCTTTTCCACCCCCAAGCTCTGGGCTTGGACTCAGGGCCTTACACTTGTCAGGCAGGTGCTCTACCACTTGAACCACATTCCTAGCCTTTCACCTGTCTTGAACCTCCAACTACTCTGGTTCAAGCTACTTTCCCCTTTTATAAGTGAGAAGATTGACACTTACAGAGGAACAATGGTTTCTTTGAGGGACGTGAAGGTGAAGCAGGAAAAGAAAACAGGTTTTTAGCCAAGGCCAGTTCCACGATGGGAATCAACTGTTATGTTTTCACATATATTATAACAAACTATTTTCTACCAAGCTCTCCATGCAGCATCTCCAGAGTTCCAAATGAGTTCAGATGGCACAGCAGGTGCAAAGGATCTGGGTTGGTAAAGAGTCTTGAGTGCCAGGGACTGTTCAATGGCCAGGGTAGCCGCAGAAAAAAACTGCCCGTGAGACCAGGTTGTACAGGGCCATGGGGGCCGCAGCTAAGATTACTTTATTTTTTCTGGTGATGCTGGAGATTGAACCCAGTCTCATGCCTGCTAGGTATGTGCTCTACCACTGAGCTACATCCCCAGCCCTGCATCTAAGATTTTTGAAGTTCAAATCATCAAAGAATTCTAAACAAGTGGTATGCACAATAGGAGTGGTTTAAAAAGAAAAGGGGGAAAAAAAAAAAGACTCCAACCTCCCAGGGAAGAATGGCCTGGAGTGAAAGCAGAGAGAAGTTAGGTTCTCCAAGGATGTAAGAGCAAGATGAGGAGGCTGGACTGGGAGGAGTAGCACAGGGCCCTGGGAGAAGTGGATGTATCTACAAGGTACTGGTAAATTCACAGGGTATGTGATTAACTCCAGATGGAGAGATGGAGGAATATGTGGCCAAAACTGCCAGGTCCCCCATCTGGCCTGCAGCCCCCACCTCCCCTGAGCAGGTGAGGGCAGGGGGCTGAGTCTCAGCCCCAAGATGGGACCTAAGCTGAAGTGAGAGTCAACACAGGCTTTCCTTTGACATTTGTCAGAATCCCATGATGTCTGCATCCAAAGCTGGGCCGCCATTCAGAAGGTTCTGACAGCCCAGCCTACATACCTGGAATGTCACACTGCTCACGGGTCCTGACTGGAAATGTCCTTGCTCAAGGGCTGTGAAATGAAATCTCTCAGCCACTCACAGTCAGGCTCTCCAGGTCAGGACATCCTGGAGCCCTTTCCACCTCACTGGCTTGGTGACCTGGGCAGCTACCTCACTGACCTGGCACTACTGCTCAGCCCAGGGTGCAACTGTTGCTGTAGGGAAGGAGGCTGGGGACAGAGATGCTACACACAGAGCTTTATTTGTTTCCGGTATGTACAGGTATATACAACTGAAGTGAGTCTATGGTACATTATTTCACAGAATTATCTTACATACTCTGCATACTCCCGGGGAGGAAGTGGCAGATTTGTCCCAATTACTCCGGGGATGGCGGAGGAAAAGGATGCTAACTGCAGCCACCCTCTTTCAAGGACATTCACGGGGGCTGCTTGCCCTTCCAGACACTGAAGCCCTCCCACGGACAATCTGTGCCTCCTACCCGCCCTGGGCACTTGCTGGCGGGATCTGGGTGGCAGTAGCAAGCGGCAGCTGCTTCCAAAAGTCTTTCCCCTTGAAAAGACTTGTGCGAGGGCCAAAAAGCAGCAGTGGCCCCAACTCACTGACAGCAGCAAACTGACACCAGATGTGTACAGCCTGACCAGGGTCCGCGGCCCTCAGCACACATACGGCCCTCTACGCCCTGGGCACCTGGCTTCACGGGGCACTGGCGTGCATTTTCTCCAGGCAGCTGGTCCAGAACGTGACCAGCCGGTTGTCACGGTTGATGCAGAAGTCCGTGAAGTCCTTCAGCAGCCGATCAGCAAACTTCTCATCCCCTGTGGCACTGGAGCGCCACGTCTTCGTCAACATGGTGTTGTAGGCCCAGTTGTAGCCCACCCGCTCCTCGCAGAACATGTTCTGGTTGGTGGAGCTGGTGGAGTTCCGCCGGCGCCGCTGCTGTCCCGAGAACTTGCGCTTGGAGTAGGGCAGCTGCAGAAACACTGTTCCTGAAGGGACAGGGAGTAGGCAGGGCCTGGGTGGCAGCCACTGGGGCTGCCGAGGTGGCTCTGCCACCACAGGCTCGGTGCAGGGGAAGAGGACTGTGTGAACAGGCTCAGTCTCCCCCTCCACCCCAGGGCCCAACTTTTTGCCTGCAGCTCCTCACCTGTTACGTGGATGTACTGGGGTTTGTTCTCAGCAGGGAAGTTAAAAGCAGACGCAGAGTATTTATCTTGAACAAACCCAAACCTAACAGAAGGACAGGAAGACACACTGGTCAGGGCCTCCAGAGCCAAAGGGACAAGGCTAAGAAGACCCTGTGACGGTCTGAGATGGAGATCTGGAAAGATCGTATTTAGGATGGACCACACAGCCTGCTTATTTCTGTTCTTACCACTTTTCAACATCCCCGCTTCCAACTCTGTGACTCGCCAGCCCTCCTGCTCCACCATCCACCATGCCACCTGCAGTGACCGAAAGCCCTCTGACCAGGTGCCTTCATTCCTGCCCAGCCACACCCTCCCTTCTGCAGCATCCCCTAGCCTTTGAAGCCCCACCTGTGCCTTAGCTGGAGGCAGTACCCACCCACATAGCTTCTTTATCATAATTCTCCTTAGCTACACCTCGCCCTCTTTCCCCACGGTTCTCAACAAGACCTTGAACTCAAATGGAATGAAGTACCCTAATTGAAACCCTTTTCATAAGAGTGGGGAACACTAGCCTGGTGCTCACTGACTAGCTGCAGTCTGGAAATGGGCAGGAGAACCATTTTTCATCCATGACTTGTTCTGTTCCCACTTCTCATCTATGGCTTGTTCTATTCCTGGTTTTCTATTTCCATAAAGTACATTTATTATAGCCCTACCTGCTAAGAGCTGTAAAAGACGTGCTAACAGATGTGGCTCCTGCCCTCTTAAGTCTGAAGGGTTTATGTAATGAAGGCAGCGATGAGGCAGAGCTGAAGGGGGAAAATGCCTGTCTCCTTTCCTGGACCCAGCTCCTTGGGAAGGTTCTGGGTCGTATCCTCTGAGCTGCCAGGCTTTACCCTGGCACTCCGTAAGTATTTACCAAAGAGCACATGCAATCAAACGTGAATGAGCGGAAGGTGAGTGTATCCTGCAAGCCCCCTCATCTACAGGCTGCATTCAGCATGTGCAGGAATGGTCTGGATTTTTCCCCTGCTTCATCCCTACTTCCCAATAAAGCCTGCTGATTTACTCAGCATGGAGCAGCTTGACCAGAGGATTCTTGCTCCATTTCTTCCTTAGGACACAAGAAAAGACCTTTATTAAAGAAACAAAAACAAAAAAAGCACAATGTAGCCATGGTCCCTGGCAGCCCCACTGTGCACTTAGGGAGAATGCAAGCCAGGATTGCAGTGAAGACAGGGGCTTCCATCCATTCCAGAGAGGAGGACGTTAGACACACACCCTAGCAACCCAGATGAAGGAGGAGGAGGAGCTGGGAGCCAGAGCAGAAGGGACACTGGGAAGATGGACACTTTCCTGCTTTTTTGTGGGTGAGCCAATGTACCATTTGAGAGCCACATATCCACTTCACAGTTCCACTGCATGCAAAAGCTACAAGCAAAACAACTACTCTGAGCAAAGCACTTCACTAAGCATTGCGGGAGGGAACAAAAATGAGAAAAATGCATGCTTTTGCCCTCCAGGAGCCTGCAGAGCAGTGAAATAGACTGATAGAGTATTTGGAAGAACAGGAAATAGGAATTCAGACTTGGGAATAACTGGTAAAGGAAGACTCTGACGGGTACAGAAGGGGCAGGGGCTTAGGTTGCAAGGCAGAAAGCAACATACAGCAGAGTTTGGTGCAGTCACACACAAGGAGTGGCTGGAAGACGTGCCAGGAAATCAGAGGTTGGAAAAGACTGAAGAGGGAAGGGAAATAGTTTACAGAAAACATGACTGGGGTCTGGGGTGAATGCAATCAGGAGGACACTATGAAATTAAAAAAAAAAAAAGCAGATTTGGCAAATGAAGTTGACAACTCAAGTGGTGTCCAGTAAGCAAAATACAATGGTTTCCCAAAAAGACATAAGGCATGCAGTGAAGAGGTGCTTACCCACTCGTCATCAGCAGGGTCTTCCTTATGACCACTGCCCCCTAAGCTCACTAGGTGAGCCTAACAACCCCAAGATGGGTGAGAAAACGAAGGCTGGGCAGTCCCAGGACTTTGCCACAGAACTTCCACAGCTCCTCAGACAGATGCTGGCTGGGGTGGGGTGCACCTGTCTGCTTACAACATCAGGGCCCCTTTACACCGATCGCTGTGCTCCCTCCCCTTGGTTCCAAATATGCACCCCTTCCTGCTCCTCTCACAGCCTTTACTGAGTATCTGAGCAAGGTCAGGACTGCAGAATAAAGACCTTAGAATAAGGTTTCAGGTGGGCCAGAGCCAATGTGGGTGGGAGGTAAGCCTGGACTTCATCCTGTAGCTGAGTGTGAGCACATGTGGGGGACAGGGTAGTGTGAGGTGCAGGTGGTAAGAGCTGAAGATGCCTGAATAAGGAGATGACATGACAGTGAACACAGTGGTGTTAACGAGAGGGTCACTGAAGCAAGAACAAGAGGCTATGCTTTCACCATGAGTAACACAAAGTAGCAATCAGACACCGACTTAGTGGTGCCTGGAGACAGGCTGGTTTGCTGGATGGGCCCAGGGGGAGACAGCTAAGCCTAGGAAAGGCTTTTCCTGGTCCACATATTGAAGCTAAGAAATATCTACTAACTCATCCACTACTTTTTAACCATTCACTGTCTTTTTTGACTTGTCTCTTAACAAATTTTATGTTTCGTTTCATATTGTCTCCTGGGTAAGTTAGTTCAGGTTCTTGCTGAAGGCCAAGGAGAGAGCACTAAGATCTCCTCTCAATTGGGAGAAGGCAACGAGGTCTGAAAAAACAACAGCTGCAGAACTGACAGGGTAGTGTTTACCTCTGAAGCCAAGGCAAAGAGTCCATTGGAGATAAGCAGCAAATCTGTCATTGGTGGAATAGATGCCTTTCCCCCAGAATGAAACAAACTGGGCTTCACTTTGAAAACTGCTCTTCGGGAATAAACACTGATTCCCTCCCATTAGTCCTTCTTGGTAAGGGACAAACCTGTGTGCAATGGCTTCCTGGAAAAGGTGCATTCGATCCCAATATGTTTCTGGTTCAAAACCTGAAAGGAAAAAGAAAAAGATGCTGAGCTGTGACCACAGGGTTTGTAATTCTTCCTGAATATGGGGTTGTGTACCCTTCCCTATTCTTGGCAGTCCTTGTCCCATGTACCTAAATGTTCAGCCTCTATCCCAAGGACAGCTGTGTGTTTCCATCATCCCTTCCCTAAGCTATCACAGGGTTTGGAAGCGTGATAAGTCCTCAGGAGGCAGAGAGCGACTAGAACTCAACGTAAAATGTATCCTAATGACATCCTGTGCCAAAAGCTGAAAGGAAGAGATGAAAACACAGATAGGATAAACCTAAAATGCTTGTTAGCTGCTTCTGAGGAATGACAACAAAACAACCATCCTTTTGTGCTACCCACCCCTCATTTCCCTATAAAGAAAGGCAACAGTACAAGCTCCATTTCAGAGGCAGGGAAACTGAAGCATGCAAATATAAAAAAGAATTCTTGGCAAGTGGTTGGCTGGGGAGGAAGCAGAGCAGACGGGTCTCCTCCCACATCACCCACTGCATCTCTAGCCATGCTCCCATGGCAGGGCTGCTGCTGAGGACCTAGAGCTGAGGGAGGAGGTGGGAGGGTCCAGCAGGCTGTCACTTAGCAACGAGCAGCAGAGCCAGGGCTGCTCTCTGGGTGGAGGTGTCAGGGAAGCAACTGCGCAGACATCCCCCAAACTAGGGAGGCCTGCGGTAGCTTTGGTTACTCTTCAGTATTTGGAACTTTCTATTTTTTTACATTTTTTTCCCTTGTTTTACATTTTTTTCTCTTTTTTTATTAAATTATTGTTGTACTGGGGGGATACATTGTGATATTTACAAAAGTTCTTACAATATATCATAGTTGAACTCACCCCCTCCATCATTTGGAACTTTCTACCTAAGACAAATTTGAGGATTCTGGATAAGAAGAGAACAAAGAAAGAAAAGGGCTTTGGTTTTAATAGGAAAGCAACACACACACACACACACATACACATTCCTGTCAGATTTTTAAGATTCTGAATTCACTATTACAAGAAATGAAGATAACAGGAAGAGAAGAGACACAGAAGCAAGAAAATTGAATTTTAGATTTGAATCCTTTAAACTAGGATTCCTTCAGCTGTAACCATGGCAACTAACAGAGGATGCTGGTCTTAAAGACTGGGTTACCACTGGCGGGAAAAGCCATCAACTCGCACAGAAATATCCTTTAATGCCAGCCCTGTGAGCAATTCTGGGCTGGTACAGTGAGGGTGGAAAGCCCCAGGGTCTCTAGATGGTGGCAGGAACATCTCTCTGTGCACTACAGGGAGCTCCTGTCTGATAGGGACACAACCATCCAGCACATTAGGACTGCCTAAATGGTCCGCTCTCAGTCATGCTGTGGGATAAACGAGAATGTGTGTGCAAAGGGGACTCTGTAAGCTCCACCCATCTTGGAGTCTATGGCCTCTCTCTGGGGCTCAGCTGGAACCCCAATCGTCACTTAGAACACTGTGTCTATACAAAAATGTCTTCTAAGTTGTAAACAAAGACTACAAAGATGGGGCTTTGGAATAAAAGCTGTCTGCACCATGTGGGCGACCTGTCACATGAAAAGCTTGGAAGCTGGGCATTCACGTCTGTAATCCTAGCTACTTGGGAGGCTGAGATAAAAAGGATTGCAGTTCGAGGCTGACCTAGGTAAATAGTTCTTGAGACCCCATCTCCAAAATAACCAGAGCAAAATGAACTGGAGGCATGGTTCAAGTGGTAGAGTGCTTGCTCTACAAGCTCAAAGCCCTCAGTTCAAACCCCAGTCCCACCCAGAAAATAAAGAGACAGAAAAAGAGAGACAGAGAGAGAGAGAGAGAGAGAGACAGAGACAGAGAGAGACAGAGACAGAGAGAGAAAAGGGAGAGGGGGAGAAAAAGAAAAAGCTGGGGAATACTGAAGGTGGCCTGCCCCTGGCAAGACCACCTCACCCTCTGGGATGGATCTCTGCCACTGACCATGACACAGACTCACAAGAGCATGGGAAGAAAGCATCTCCCTCACATCAAAAGTTGTTTCTTTCACATTTATAATCTTTATATCCTAGGGCTCCTGACGTATTGGCGTCAATTCTAGGCTTTTGCTCTCAAAAACGTCTGTGAACTCACTGAAAGTGTTTTAGGAACTATTTATATGTTCACCTACAATGAATGCTTGGTGAGAGAGAGCCTTGAGTTTCGTAGAGTACAGCTCATCCTTTGATCTGTCCTAAACCTGTGCACTGGCGTCAAGGGGTGGGTCAGGATGGGACCCATGTGCTCCTTTTTCTGATTGACAGCCAGTTCCCTAGGGAAGGGCTCTGATCTGGGTCCTGATGTGCTCATGTGAGCCTCCTCTTGCTCTGCTCTGTCTTCCTTGAGATGCAGGACATGAGATGCATGCAGGGTCCCAGGGGTGTTCGCAGCTTTGCACAACAGGACCCTGCTTCCTGTTTTGCTTTAAATGCCACCTTTTTTGGACCTTTTTGCACACAACAGCATCCAAAATTCTCTCATGAGGTTCAAATCCCTACAACCCGAACCAGTTAGGCTGGAGCACGTGGGAGCACTGAAGAGATTTACAGTGCATGTCGCCTTCACCACCCCCCAGCCTCTCTGGGCCTTGCCATGGTCTCCTGGAGATGGCAAGGTGGCTCCAGCCAATCTCATGTTAGAATCAGGAATTAAACACTCAGAGACACTGTGTGATTTGTCCAGGGTGACCCAGCCACTAAGTGAAGAATCAGGTTGGAAACCTAGATCCCTTTGGTCACTGTGGAACAGCTCTCTTTTCACTAGGCTGTGTTGACACCTACGGAGGTGTCCTTGGGTGTGGGGTCTTACTCTTGAGACAGGACCTCCAGAGGGAAGATTCTTACTATCAAACAGGTGCTCGCTGCCCTCCTTGAGCAGGCAGCTGATGTTGAGCGGGATGAAGAGCTGGGCCCGAAGGGGATCGCCGTACAGGTAACTGGGTAGCGCGAAAGGACCCTCCAAAACCGGGACCAACAAAAAGCCACAGGAGGTGGCCTTTCGATGCCAACCTTGGACCTGGGGAAAGTATAAAAACAGAGAGTATCATCTCCAAGTTCTTTTGGACAAGAGAAATACTCTTGGCCTCAATGAGGAAACCCGCCAGAACGGCGGCAAGTGTACTGACCACCACATTCATTTATTCATGTTCACTGGCTCCAGTCCTGGACAGGAAAAAGTGCAGTTTCACTTCCTGACAAACACTTGAAAAAAATGTGAGTTGAGCACACAGCTCCTCTTCATGGCCCACGCTTCTGTAACTTTAGTGTTTCTTCTATAAGGAAAAGACTAGAGAGAGCTGAAATCCTTCTCATTCTGTGGGATGTCGGAGTGAGGTCATAGGATAAAGATTAAATCTAATTTTGTCGTTTATCAAAAATTTAGTAAGTTCAGCTAGGCGTGGTGACTCACACCTATAATCCCACCTACTCAGGAGGCAGAAATCAGGAGGATTTTGATTTAAGGCCAGCCTGTGCAAGACACCCCATCTTAATAAATAAGCTGAGTTTGACGGTGTATGCTTGTCATTCCAACTATCCAGGAGGTCTTAGGTAGGAGGAAATCCTGGGGGAAATGCAAGACCCTCTCTCAAAAGTGATTTAAAAAAGGGCTGGAGGCATGGCCTGACTAGCAAGTCAAGGCCCCAAGTTCAAATCCTCGTTTGAACCTAAATAAATAAATAATAAGTCTCCTTGGGTTGACTGAGAGGGAGTCGAGCCACAGTTCCAGTCCCATATATAGCCACAGGGCGGGAGAGGACAAGTGATCAGCTCCGACCTGCAGAGGGAGAGCCATTCTCTGGGAAACCCCAAAGTCATTTGCCTAAAGGATGAAAGTTACTGGGGCATGAAGACAAACTTCCTACCACCAACAGTTTTAGTGAGCAGAGGCAATTTTCTAGTTTTTGAGAATTTTTTAAAAGTCATAATGCATATTAAAAAGAGAGAGAGAAAGCTGGAGATGTGGGTGTAGCTCAGTGGCAGAGTACCTGTCTAGCATGTATGAGGCCCTGCTTTCAGTCCTCAGCATGGAAGAGGGAAAGTCGAAGCTTTTGAAAGTGGCTCTCTCGAGCAGATGAGATCTGGGTCAAACTTTATTTTATTTCATTTCTTTTTTTGTTTTTTCTTTTAAGCTAGGTCTTAGCATGTTGCTCAGGCTGGTCTCCAACTTGTAGCTCAAGTGATCCTCCTGTCTCAGCCTCCAGGGTAGCTGGGACTACAGATGTGTGCCACCACACCCAACTTACATCTTTTCAAAGTAATATTGACCTGTAGTCCTGGGAGGGTCAGGAGGATCGCTTAGCCTAGGAGTCGAGGGTGTCTGGGCAACACAGCAAGACTTTATCTCAGGGAAACACACGCACGTACACATATCCATTTCTTGACTTAAAAAAACATGATTGTGTAAAAAATTGAAGACGAGTATTTTTAGTTTTTTTTTTTTTTCACAACAACAACAAAACCAAGGTCTCTGGTTTGACCAACTTAATTTCTAAGGCTTACTTAACAGCTTCTTTATTTTTAGGTAATATTTATTCTCATAAAATTTGATTTTTCTAGGCACTGGTGGCTCACACCTGTAATCCTAGTTATTTGGGAGGTTGAGATGGGAGGGGGTCTCAGTCTGACGCCAGCCCAGGTGAATAGTTTATAGGACCCCATCTCCAAAATAACCAGAGCAAAATGGACTGGAGGTGTAACTCAGGAGGTAGAGGGCCTGCTTTGCAAGTTCAAAGCCTGGAGTTCAAACCCCATCCTACAAAAAAAGACATAATAAATGTGGACAGAGCCTAAAAATAATGATTCACCTATATTAGTTTTTAAAACATTACAAAAACATTAGCAGTGGGTTTCACATGAAGAGATATGAAAAGTATACTTTTTAGTGACAGTGCTAAATTCCTGAGAGAAAATAAACTTTTTCCTGCCCAATGGTGGCTGCGTATATGTCTGTGTCTGCGTGCCTCTGCGTGTTGGAGTGTCTGTGAGTGCCGTGATCATGTGGGGACCACGGAATGCTTCCGCCTATGGGTCAGAAGGTTCATTTTGCTTGGAGGGAACGGTCATCTCGATGTCATGCAGCTGGAGAAGAGCTGGTGCCCTCCGGAAGCTGACCAGGATGAATAGCTGATCTTTTTTTTTTTTTTGAGACATGGTCTTACTATGTAGCCTGGGCTGGCCTTGAACTCAAAATCCTCATGCCTCTGTCTCCCAAGTGTGAGATTACAGGCATGCACCCCATATCTGGTCGTTACTATCTTTTTTGACTTGGGTCTTATGGATGCTAATGCCAGATATAGAGACTGTGCCTGGCAGATACAGACCTGGACAAATCCCACCTCCAGGATACCATGTCTTGTCAGACACAACTGGACCTACCAGCTCTGGACAAAAAAGCTTGCTGGCCAGTGCTCAGCTTATTTCTCTTGGGTCATCTCCCAGCTTTCAGTAAACAATTTTTGAACTTTCCAGCTGCTCCCAGCTGTGTGATGAAGTGTTTAGCCTGTTGTCACAGGGGAGTGGGACTCAGTTGATCCACAGAAAAATGTTCTTTTTGGCTGAATCACAGTGCATAAAAGGAGTAACAGATCTTGATGATGGTTAAGGAGGGTTCTGGGAAGACAGTTGACAGATGGCTAGGAGTATTTATTCTATAGGCACTGGGACCTGAGATGGGCAGTGGTCCAGGCAGCTTCTTAGTTCAGGAGCAATGATGGCCTGATTAGAGAGGCAGGCCAGGATGGAGTAGCAGGAAGACCAGCTAAGACAAGGCTTCTTAACCTTGGCACTTGTGACATCTTGGAACAGTTAATTTTTCATTTAGCATCTGTCCTGCACATTGTAGGATGAAGAACACCAACCCCGGTCTCTACCTGCTAGATGCTAGTCGTACCCATTCCTCCGCTGTGTAGGATAAGTAGAAATGTCCGTAGCTATTATTAAATGTCCATGGTGGGCAAAATCTCCCACGTTTGGGAACAAACAAAAGGCAGTGGTGTTCATTAAGAGGACTGGTCAGATAAACTATGGTACAAATAAATAATAGAATATTCTGCAGCCATTGAAAACGATGGGGCAAAATAAAAAAATAATTTAAAAAAACCCCAAACAAACAAAAACAAGGCAGATTTATTTGTGCTGATATGGAAGACATATAGGTAATAGGAAAACAATATAAATGCATTGCATACTACCATCTCTGCTAAAAAAACAAGTAGCATGGTTTTGTATAGGCACAGAATCTCTCTGGGAGTACATGTAACTAAGTGGTAGTGGTGGCTTCTTTAAGATAGAAGTCCCAGGTTGGGTGATGATGGCTCACACCTGTCATCCTAGCTACTTGGGAGGCTGAGATTGCTAGGATCGAGGTTCAAAGCCAGCCTGGGCAAACAGTTCATGAGACCCCCATCTTCAAAATGACCAGAGCAAAGTGGACCAGATGTGTGGCTCAAGCAGTAGAGCGCCTGCTTTGCAAGCACAAAGTCCTGAGTTCAAACCCTAGTCACAACAACAACAAAAAAAGATGGGAATCCCAGGACACAAGGGAGGGAGGAGACAAGTAGATTCTCAACTGGGGCAATTACCACCCCCAATTCCCGACCACATGGGAACATGTGCGAGTTCCCGGAGAGATCTTTCGTATCACAGCTGGGGTGTGTGCTACTGGCACTAAATGTTTAGCGGTTGAACGCTGATCAATGTCCCATGATGCCCAGGACAGTCCCCTCCAACAGAGAATTATCCAGTCCCACATGTTGGTACTGCCACGCTCGAGAAATCTTCATCTATACCTTGTTCAAAATTTTTTTAAACTGTGTTTAATTTTTGGTTTTTTTCCCAGTACTGGGGCTTGAACTCAGGACTTTGGCCTTGAGCCACTCTACCAGCCCTTTTTGTGTTAGGTATTTTTGAGGTAGGGTCTCATGAAACTATTTTCTGGGGCTGGAGTTGAACTTGATCCTCCTGATCTCTGCCTCCTGAGTAGCTGGGATGACAAGCGTGAGCCACTAGCACCTAGCATAATTTTTTTAAAAAGGATATTCCAACAGACCAGGTGAAAGGTAATAGGAGGCCGAACTGAAAAATAAAAGTGACATGAAACTCTACAAAGCATCCCCCATACTCCTCTTCAAGGTGAGCCAAAGGTCACCATCACACATGTGAAGGTCTTACCATCTCGAAGAGCACTGCGGCAGTCACCGCCATCCAGTGTAGCTTGATCTCGAAGGCTGCATTCAGAGAGAAGTTGCCATGGTAATAACAGCTGCACCACTCCAGTCGGTCTGTGCGGTTGTTCACGTCTACGTCCAGGGTCACAGTCCTCTGCTCGGGGACAGTGGCAGCTGTATCAGAACACAGGGAGGGCCAAAGAAAGAGGGAACAGGAATGGGATGAGGAGGAAGAATAAAGAACTAAGTACGCAGATATGAAACTGCAGAACCACCTCACAGGAAACTACAGATTCTAGAAGGTTTCTGGGAATTACCTACCCAAGGGGTCCACAAACTTTTTCTGTTTGTGGCTAGCTAATAAATACTTTAGGTTTTATGGCCATATGGTTTCTGTGATATGATCCAAAAGCAGCAATAGATGTTATGAAAAAGATAAGCTCAGCTATATTCCAATAAAACTTTATTTATAAAAACAAATGCATATTGAGGGTAGTAAAACTAGTCTGTATGATAATGCAATGGGAGACACAATTTGTCCAAACCCATAGATTATGCAATACCAAGAGTGAATGCTAATGTAAACCATGGACTTTGGGTGATAATAACGTGTTAATGTAGGTTCATGGATGGTAACAAATGTCGCTCTGGTGAGGAATGCAGATAGCAGGGGAGGCTGGATGGGGTGTGAGACAAGAGATACATGGGAACATTCTGCTCAATTTTGCTGTGTACCCAAAGTTCCTCTTAAAAAATTATAAAACAAACACGATTGGTAGGCTAAATTAAGCTAGTTGAACTGTAGTTGGCCTCTCCTTAATCTAACCCAATCCCTTCATTTACTCAGAGAGGGACAGTGCCTTGCCCAGGATCACAGAGACATCTCAGCCAGGCTGAACCCCAGATCCTCTGATTTCAGATACAAGAAGAAATGGCCTCAACCACAGTGGGGAGGAAGTTCTACTTTTCAGGTTTCAACCCGGAAAGGTATTAGTTCTACAATCTTTTTTCAAGAAATGGAACCTCATAAGGACACTTAAGCACCCTGTTTCACCATAGATGCGTGGCTGAAAGACTCTAGATCAGTAGTAAAATCTCCTGTGCTATCTGGGATCCCTGCTCCCAAATCCTACTCGACCCAACACAGGAATATTTTAGAGACATGATAGACAGTCAAGGTCCTGACCAGAGAAAAAGGCCTAAATATGCAGCCAAGTTATAAAAGGTCAGGAGTGTGCTCTGTCTGCCTGAGCACTATCACACGTAGGGATCACATGTTTTCCTCATCCTCCCCCATCCCCTTTGTTCAATGGTTTTTATCTGAAGGAGTCAGCTTAGTTCTGGGTGATGCAGGTAGAAGCCCTGAATAGCTTTATCTCTGACAAGGATGAAACAGTTCTTGAGTCAGCAATTTGGACGAGTTTCTGTTGGGAGGCAGGAGAGCATTAGCTAGGGTACTGAATAATGGCAAACCTCATATCCAGTTGTCAGGTGTACTGCTCATCGTTCTGTCCAAACCAGAGCCTTGCAAAATAGAAAAAGTTCTGGATTTGGAGTTGGGAGATCTAAGTTTTGCCATTTAGTAGTCACGAATCTCTTGAGAATGTTGCCCCACCTATCCTGGTCTAATTCCTTGTCCATAAACTAAGATGTGACAGCCCAGATGCTTCACAGAGGAGGGGTGAGGATGGAATGAAACACGGCTGAGAAGGGTTTTCAGACTCCCTCTCTTGCCTTCTCCTCTGGCCACCTCACTCGAGTCTCCCTCCTCTCCTGCTCCTGTCATGCCTTCCTCCCTAGTTTAAGTCACAGGCACGTCAAGGCTCACAGTGAGGTCTGCATATGACTCCATGACAGTATCTACTACACTATAGCACTTAGCACCTAATTTGTTCACTCTGATGCTAAAGAGCTCATCAAAGCTAGATTCTGTCTCTACTTGATGTTCCAGATCCCTGACACCATTAAGGATAACCCTTTACTTCATACCCTAAATCAAAGAAAGCTTTGTTCTCTGGTTTTGGACACTGTGTATTCCTCCCTAGGTAAAAAGCCCCAGTCATTGGGTTGGAGATGAGGCTCAAGTGGTAGGGCACCTGCCTAGCAACTGTGAGGCTCTGAGTTCAAACCCCAGAACTAGGGATGGTGGGGAAGCTCCAGTCACAAAAATAAGGGCACTGGATAAATATCCAGAATGACCTCATACATCTCTGTTCTCCTATCTGGCACGTTAAACACAAGACAGGCTGGTCTGGGAAGCCCAAGGAAGTACACTGTCCAGCCAAGTGGGTCTCACACTTCAGTTGTCAGATTTGACAGAACAGATGCTTCCAGCAGGTTTACAATGTTGACAGAGGTATCAGCTCAGCTGAGATGCAGCTTTCAGTGAGTTCACTGAGTTCCCTGGGAACCAACTTGTTCGCTCTGGGACAGAGATAAAGAATATCCAATAAACTTGTACAAGCCCAGAGAAGAAGCAGACTGAGCAGCCTTTGTACAGGTCAGCTAGGGAGCTATTAATGACTGGAGACGGGGATCGATGTCACTGGAGGAGAAAGAACGCAGTTCCAGGAGGACTGAAGTCCAGTGTAACTACAGCAGCTGCCTAAGAGCAGAGCGAGCAGCCTCAGTGATAAGTGCCACATTGGAAGGGTTTGCACAGGGGCATGCTGCAGTCCCTCCTGACCCCAAGACCCAGCAGGCCAGGAAGAGAAGGCTGAGAAGTAGAAGGCATGGTGTGGGCTCGAGGAAGGTGGTGCTGTTTCTTCCGGAGTCTCAGATGTCCCTGCATCCAGGCTCAGTCACATGGGATCACAGGGATGGGCAAGTGGAAGCCACCAAGGGCCAACTCAGAGGACCATGGGCCAATATCAGCCATTTCAATACAGCTTTCTGCTGCTACTTCCAATTGAGAATCAGAAGTATTCAAAAAGGAACATGAAACAAGACAAAAACTCCAACAAACAAATTACCTCCCCCACAATAAGTAGGTCACAAATGATACATAGGTCTCCTTCCCCCTTATAAATCATGTTATATATCTTCTATCTATCTATCTATCTATCTATCTATCTATCTATCTATCTATCTGTCAGTCTGTCAGTCAAGTTTTGTTTTTGAGACAGGGTCTCACTATGTAGCCTAGGCTGGCCTTGATCTCACATGTAGCCCAAGTTAGCCTCAAATTCAATCCTCCTGCCTCAGCCTCTGAAGTGTTGGGACAACAGCCTTAGCCATCTCACCCAGCTAGGAAGACAGCCTCTCATTTAAGTAGAGGACACGGTAAAAGTCTACATTCTAACTTCATAAAACACTGGGAAGAAGGCAGGTATGTTGGCACAGCAGGAGGCCTGAGCGTGTGTGGCCAGCCTGGACTACATGGCAAGACCCTGTCTAAAATAAAAGGAAAGCAAAGACAATGACAACAAAAAAGTGCTGGGAAGATATGTATCCTAACGCAAAGGTCTCAGAGCTATCACTGGATAAAATGAGTGGTAGTAAGGGTCATATCAGGTTTCAAGGGACAGGAAACCCACTTCCCATGGGAGGGGTGATGGTGAGGAGGCTGATGGAATGAAATTCTTTTTAACAACCATGAGAATCACTGAAAAGCCTGTGTGTTTTCAAGCAAAGCTCGGCTTAGCTTATATTCACTGAGCCCCTTAAAGCCTAGACATTGAACACCAGTTAAAGGACTACCAGTTGTCTACTCTCTCTACTCTCTCCCTTCTCTCTCTTTTGGACACATGACTTATTTTCTGTATAATTCCTTTCTTAAAGCTAAACTGAGATGAGCTGACTCTCATCCTGAGAAGAGACTATGACAGTCAACGGGTTTACCAGCCACAGAGACAAGACTTTTGAAATGAGACATTCTCAGGAGAGCCTCCAGAACCTAACTGATGATACAAAAGGTGACAATACTGAAGCACTTTCCAGAAGCAGTCACTAAGGCTAAGTGTAGCAAAACAGTCTGGGCTGTGCACACATCTCTGGACATGAAGCCTTTGTCTGGTGGTGGCTGGGGCGTGCACAGGCCTAGGTGATAGGCAGCTTGTCTGTTCCCAACCTGGGAGCATTCTTCAACAGAATGAATTGGCAAAACTACTGTTGTTCCGACAATTATACAGTTAATCGCTTAAAGTCATCAAAAGTTTGCTGATTCCAGATCGATGTTCCAAATTCAATTTCCCTCATTCTGCCAACCTGCATTTCATTCAACTTTTTTTTTATACATTTAACAAATACTTATCGAAGCTGACTGTGTATCAAGTAGTGTTCATCACATAGCTTATGTGAACAAAGCAAAGTTCATCACATAGCTTAAGTTCCTTATGGAGTAGAAAAACACACAAGCTGTACAAACACAATGTCAGGCAGTGATCAGAGCGAAGGAGACAAAGAAGCTGGGTGGTGTGTGTGGGTGGAGTGGGCAGAGTGAGGACAGGGGTTATATTGCACATGACTTTGGAGGAAACAGTGTCCCAGATAGCAGGAAAGGGCTGCAAACAGAAGCATGATGGTGTGTTGACCACTGTTCACAAAAGCCAGTGTGGACAGCAGTGGTGGAAGGCTAGCTGGAG